TCTTCCAAAGGAAGGCCTATCTCAACATTGTTACTTTGTACGTAACTACACAGGTATTCGATTGTTTCGCTGATTGGAACATTGGTGAAGAGTGAGCTAACGTCCAATGAAAGCATTGTCCGACCCATCAAGTTTAAGCCATGAATGCTGTTCACAAAAGTAAATGTGTCTCGTACGCTGTGTTTCGCCAATCCAATTCTTGCGGGTTCTAGTAATTTAGCCAACCATTTTGCAAGTGCGTGGTACGGTGAATTGCACATCTCCAGAATCGGTCGCTGGGGTACCCCTTCCTTGTGCACCTTCGGCAACCCGTACAGTCTGGGAATCGTTGTCCCAGTTGGCCGGATTTGTTCAAAAGTGGTCGCATCGATTACTCCATTTTGCTTTAAACATCTCAATATCTTTGATAGGGCAACCTCTATTTGAGCGGTCTTATCCTTTTCTGTTGTTTTGGTGAATTTCGACCCGTCACCCAGTATGGCTCCCATCTATTGCACATAATCCACGAATCACTGAAAACGAGCTTGTTCGCCACTCGTTGTTCTATCTGAAGTGTGATTGGTTGGATTCACTCGAAGTTACAATGGATTCACTTGAAGTTGAAAAGGTATAGATTAACTTATGTCAAGTACATTGTGTCACCGATGACAGTAGCATCCAGTGATGCAAACGCACAAAATTATATTTTAAAACTGAATGGCATCTTTTTTTAGCTGCGTAAACTCAGGCAACTTCCAGCCCCACTATCAGTTTGGTGCCGTCGTTGATGGTTTTTCCATCATTCTAGACCTTTTGCAAGTCAAGGTGTCCTTTAATGTTTCCCGGACTATCAAAAAGACTTCAATTATTTATCAAGGTTTAGAGATAATTAGTCGAGTATCATTGATCTCAGTTAATTTATCAATCCCAGAACTTCATAAGGGTCTCCTCACTTCCAGCATTAAATTTGGCAATACAATTCTCGAAGACCTGGCTTTATCCGCCACATCCTAATCATTATTCTTTTCCGTTCACACGCGCCTCCTTTCAACATCTACCGTTTTGTATCAACAAGAATTGTAATTCCACTGCACCCTATCTGGCCCGAGTCATAACCAATAAGAATTATCTCAGAATTCGTCCACGTCGAACAAACTTCAGCGATATTCTTCATTTCGCACCTAAGGTGTAATATATTTTGTTTGATGTAGCGACCAGTGTACATTTTTATATAAGTAATTATATATATATACATATATGCATATATGTATATTTAAGTATGTATGCTTACACAAGTTATAAAATATACAAATCAATATATATTTGTGGACTAACCAAATATATTCTTCTTTGACATATCCCATGTCACTGTTTGAGCGGAAATGGGTTTTCCATTAACCAGTTCCAAAAATTTCTGATAATCACATAACCATATACCAGCGATACTAATCAGTTTATTGCAATCCATGGCACATTGCTCGAAAAACTCTTCCAGTTTGGTTTGACGTTCTTCATGGTATTGCCCAATCTCATCCTTTGTCGGTTCAGATACCTGCATCGCCTGAACCGGTTTGGTATTGTTTAACGTCATTTCAAGGGATTCAGGTCTAGCGTTGTGTGGACAGCGTGGAACCTTGTTTTCGTCGATGGCAAACTGTGCAAGTATAGTCTCATTGAAATGACAATAGGTTGGCCCCAAGGCTTGCGTGCATTCTTTAGATTTCAAATCTGTCGGTTTTGCTGGATCACACGTGAGATTCTTCACACTCACTGTTCCTACAACTCTCCCAATAAAATCCGGTGGATAACCGTAAACATATTCATAATCATCAAAAACGTTCAACGTCCAAAATGGTGCATTTCTGGAAGCTGAATCCTTTACCACACATTCACCACCCGACTCCTCAGTTTGTCCTCCGGATGCATGAAGCAAAACAATAACCAGTTCCAAGAGCCTATGGCAGTGCATAGCTACAATGAAAAACTGAAAGATAATTGGGTATGAATAAACTGTGCTGCTTTTAAAATAAATCCATTGATTATCATTGTTACATTTTTATAGGTCGAGAAATTAAGCAGATTATTCAAAATGTAAGTCAACCGAACCTGCATTCAATGTTCGGAATTCGGATGCTGTACTTTACTTGATGATTTTGAATTACACGGGCATACAACGTAGTATTCATCGTAATCCTCGAGAATTCTGAGTGAGTGAGTTGTGTGAAATTGTCTGGCACAAGACATTATCTGTAAATTAAACTCGTGCATGAAAACAGAATAATCGCATATTCTGGAGTTGATGAATTAGTTTGAAAGCATTTAAATTTTGCATTTTCGACAGAAATTGACTTATACATGGAATATCACTTACGACAAACGCTGCTATTATTATTATTATTAATATTAATATTATTATTATTATTATTGTTATTATTATTGGTATTATTATTGTCAAAAGCATCCCAATCGGCATAACATGTGTCGAAGAACACAAAATCTGCACTATGGTGTAGTACGCACAAAAAGACTTCAATATACAACAACCTAACCTTAAATATATAGTGACGGGATTGAACAGTCGTACTCAAGAGGAAAATGAATAGAACTATCGCAACTGTGTGGCTTTGATTGTCAACGTGGAACTGAATCATGGTAGTATCTAACCCACAAGGAGTCAAAGTGATGCAAAATGATTATTTTTTTAGAATATCAAGCTTGAATGAGCCCATTCGACTCGTCCTAAACTGGACGAAACAGCTGTCTAATGCTCTTTGTCGGTTATCACAAACAATTCCATCGCATTGGAATGATTATTTCCTGTTTACAGGCGCTCCATGACGAAGCTGTCTAGTACAGGGTGTAGATAGTCTTGTTTGTTTCGGCGTAGGTATAATNTGAGTAGCAACGTTCTACTCAATCCTTCCGCAGAATTGCTGTAATAACATACAAATTAGGACGAACTTTATGGACGACAAGTATGTCGGATAAATTGATCGCATACAAATTTTATTCAGCCTTCAAATGTTACGCAAGTTAGTGATCACTCAAATGATAGATAAAACAGCAACTTCCATGTTCATCTCCTGCCAAAACACTGTGTGCAATAAAAGGCCAACAGTCCGTGCTGCTCTCCAAAATAAACTGCATATCACTACCTACTCCACAGATTCCTCTTCATTCACCTGTACCTTCGAGGCCATTTACGTAGGTCAAACGCTGAGGCGGTTATCAGGAATAGCCAAAGAGCACACAGAACGGCCTAGTTGAGCGCTGAATGCCCAAAAGTATAAAAGCACTCGCAACTCAGTTAGTATAGGCCAAGCGTCGACTTTTGGTGTCGATTTAGCAGCTATCTACCGCGTGCCACCGAAGAGATCAGAGTTTGTGAGACAAGGCCATTTGCCAGTGGCCCAACCGGTGTCATACAAACTGCTGACCTGAGTGAGTAATGTGAAACAAAAGCGGTCAAACAAGCACTCGGACTTCATTGACGTTGAACAATTCTGGGGTTCTTTGTCCCCAATAAACTTTATATTCTTCAGTTCACCACCAAAAGGGTAGAAATCAGTGACGTTTGCTATCCTCTGAACTGAAGTTCAAGGTTGAAGACACAAGGGTTTCCCGTGGACACTGGCCTTTTCCTGGAGACATTTGCTTTATTCTGAAAGGATTCGGCTTGAAGGAAACTATATTTGCATTTTTTCCACAGTTGAAGCGAACCGGCTTTCGCTTTAGCGGAATTCACCGCTTGAATTCCTTCCATGTTCCCCGAAATTTAGGCTTGAAGCGTTCAGCTGAACATAATAGGCTTTGTCAACATCCGATAAGTTCAGCTTTTCAAATTCTGACAACTATGGTTAGTTTCTCACGAGCTGCGGAAGGTCAACACAACAATCGACTTTCTTCTTTTACGTTTATCTGGGAAAGTGTTACGCATGTCATTAAGGTAGGTTGTCACGGCAAGCAATGTTTGCCAAGGCAGGTAGTGGGCGGAATAAAGCCAAGGGTGGTCAATGTCAGACTTGGCATCAGGGTATGAAAACCCTAACCAGGGGCCTGGGGCAGAGGTCTTGTTAGGCTCCCTGGATAGGGACCTCGGGATCAGCGTAATCAATGGTTAAACATTGAGTGATATGACTGGGAGTCGCAAACAGTGGAGTTGGTGCATTTTGTCAATTTCTTTGCAAGATTAATTAACTTAAATTCTCAATTTTCTCTTCGATTCAACTTTAAACCTTCCTGTCTTTCTCCTACTGTTCACCCGAATGAGCAGCTAAATGACAGCAACCAAACCGGCGCACGGAAGTTTATGGTTATTGGTTGTACAAACTGAAAATGAAAATGGATCAGTAAGCTGTGATCACCGTTTGTCATTTGACAGTTTCATCGGATAAAAATGCAAATTAACCACAGTTGAAATTTCTACTCAGCTTTGTCTTTCCGGTTTATTGAGTCACCTTATATATTTATAATTCAGCAAACCATTTCAAGAATGCTTTGGGAAGCTATAATTGTGAAGCCGTCACGTGGAACTACGCTGGGGTCGGATCCACATCATTTAGTGCACCTCATTGTTTAATTGATCACAGTTTATTCTTCCTCTTGATTGATCACCTGTCTTCCCAGGCTGTTTCTTTGTTCAAATGTGGCAGACTTCAAGGTTGTCGAGCTTTCTTACAGATGCCGATTCAGTGAGTCTGTGAAGCCGTTCGATTTGCGGGAGGCCGCTAAGCTGGACCAAACTGGAAATTTACAGGGGGTGGCCCACTGTTTCCTGCGCGCTGCAGCTAAGGGATAACTGGTCGTAGTTGATTAGGCATTGACGAGGTTTACCACGAATAAATATGAGTTCATTGCTTACTGTGTAATCCGAACGATGCAGTTTTCATTATGTAGATCTGTGGGCCCCAGCCAAAGAAAAAAATCTGCTGAGGCTTAGGTTGGAGTTGTGTTTACCTATGTTGATTACACTAGTTGGGACATGTGTGGCGCATGTCACCAAATAGGTTGCCACGGCAAGCGATGTTTGCCGACGCAGGCAGTGGATGGAAAAAGATCAACGACGATGAAAATAAGATCTGGTACCATTGTATAAAAACCAGGACTCTGGGCCACATAGGTCCCGTTGGGCTATTCGGATGCCGACCTCGAGGTCATGGTTATCGGCGGTTAGAGACGCTGTGTGGTATGACTGAGTGCCACAAACAGTGGCGCTTGTAACTCTACTCGATAATCTCACAACCCCAGTCTATATGAATTCTCTGTATTTTCCTTGATACTACTCTCAACATTCCTATCAGCATTCTGCTCTTCTATCGAAAGAGGTAGTGGAAAGGTAGCAACCAAATCTTTGCACGAAATTGCCTTCATTTTCCTATACCACCCTTGTAATGGTACCAATACAATTATTCACATGATCCAAATTGAACAATTTAAAAGACAGTCCGTCAAATTATTACCTTGGTGCAAACCCAATGATCTTGTAAAGTGTGATGGATGTATCAAGGAGTTATCCTCTTGCTTCTCTAAGGCAAAACGCCGCACGAAGTGCTCGTGTGTGTTAACGTGAACCACAGCAGTTCGAGTACTATCCGAACTAACCAGTTCCACATTTCCTTAAAACAAAACAACCCACACCACAAGCAAGACATCACTGGGCAACGTGGATCTGAAATATGTCACCCTTCGTAGCACGTCGTGCTCACAGTAGAAAAATGTCAGTAAAGTTCGAATTGAACATTTTCGTTACCAAATGTTGCCATCGTCAAACTTCAATTCAGGTGACGACTATACACCAATTCGAAGCGCTTATGCAAATCAGTTGTTCTTTAATTATGGTACTTGAATTGGGAGGTAAATCGTATAATGCTTCGCATAGTACTAGATGAAAATTCCAAGTCCACTAAGGCCTCTTAACTTGAAGAATACCAAATCCAATGAATGACAATTTTACAAATTTCTGCGTATGTCAGTTTGATTTACGAGTTTTGAAATATGAAGATCAGTGAACCACGTCCGAAAGTGATCCTTGAGCGATGACTAACATCCTTGTAAGTGTGATGTGAAGGCTGCCAAGATAGCTTTTCAAACTTTAAAGTATTAAAGTCATTGGGAAGTTATGCTTATTTCATTCTCGTCATGTTCCCCTGGAGAAACAATATTAATGAGGTCTACCGTACTAACCACCTCTGTGTGTACATTGATATCGTCAGAGTTCTTTCTCTAAGACTGCATCTAGCTTGTACAGACAGTGACCTAATCACTGTTGACCTACAATTAGGTAATTTTCCTGCATTTTTACCGACATCAGTCTAACCGGGAATAATCACCTACGCATTCTGTAGATTGAACGTTGGTTCCACGTGGGCTATGGAATACGGCGTGTGAGCCTAGGCGGTTTTATTGTGGCTAGGGACGCATCGCAAACTGCAAATTTCCTACAGAGTTCACTTGTTTAACAATTTCTCCTTTAGCGCGCAGAGGGAGAACAAGGCTACTGGCAACATGAGTGAATTTTCCATTTTATTAATGCATGCACCTTCTGGCCAAGGCGCTCCCTTGAGGTTTCTTGGATGGGTTTACAGTTTTACTACTCAAGAGTAGTGAATAAGTTCCCCCAAAAGTACCAAATTCAAGTGATTAATTCTGGATCGCTGAAATTTTTCAATATTTTGTATATTTTTGGGATTTTGTTGGTATATATATATGTTTTGCGTTTTATTCAGTTCTGTGTTAAACATGTGCCCTCCACAGAAATCGAAATATAGATAATTTTCCTAACGAAATGAATCAACACGTACTTCAAAACCTGATATTCTTTGAATTCCTCTCAAGATGTCAGTTTCCATCCACGATTGCCTAGCACACTTCTTCGGATTTCACTAACGCATGTCTAACAGTATTATGCACTTTTTGTATCCATCGGTGTACCTGTGTGTAAGGCTAGGGATAAATCTGAGGCAAGAGTTG